TCCTGCAGCCTCAACCTGCTGGGCTCCGGCGATCCTTCCGCCTCAGCCTTCCCAGTAGCCGGAATTACAGACATGCACTACCACACCCGGCTGAATTTTTGATTTTTATTGTAGAGATGAGGTCTCGTTGCCCAGGCGGGTCTCGAACCCGCGGGCTCAGGCAATCCCTCACCTCAGCCTCCCAAAGCCGCGGGATTACAGGCTGAGCCACCGAGCCCAGCTGTTATGTGAATTTTATTTCTCTGATTTATAATTGTACTTGGCACTAGCCAGCAAGAATTGAGTGACTGATTTATGTAAAAGCAACAACATTGCATGAAATTAACTTTTAATTTAGGAAAAAACCTGTTAATAGAAGACCAATTAACTCCTGTCAATAATACATATAGGATATATTTCCCTTTTTGCAATTTCAAAATCATAATTCCACCTTGTATATAGGATAAGAAATTAGATAAACTACTGCTAAAGTGTACTTTTGTTTATTTTAAATTTGTGTAGTTTCACGATTAGTTCCTTAGCATATTGTCAGTTTATGAATTTTTAGATTTTAAGATACATTTTAGAAAAAAGTTGTTAAGCGATGCTGGTCATTTTTATAACAGAACCTCTCCTTTCTTCAAAGGTTTCTGCTAATTTTACAGACTACTTTATTTAGCGTTACACAAAGACATTCTAAATGTCTTGTGTAGAAAGAGAACAAAAGTAATTTTCATACGTTAAACCATTTAACTGCTTATTCTGGGAGCGGGTATTTTTTTGTGGTGAGCCTGGATGACTTTTTAGTGTGGGTATTAAATGCTAGAATGCCTCAGAGTTACATATTAAAAGTATGAGGGTTGCTTAATGTTGGTTAAACACTTACCTAAACTGCTACTTAATATGTGCACATATTTTCTTATAAGATGTTTTACTTTAAACCAGCACAAGTAACCTTAATTCTCTAAGGTCTTTATATCTTATTTATGTTCATTGGGATGGGAGAGGAAAGGGATCTTTTTAGAGTTACTATGAAAAGTTTTAGATAATAAAGCCAAAATCTTACCTGGGCCAAATAATGCCTAATCTTGTTTAGAACATGTAATTATAGAAGTTGCTGAGGGATTCTCATTAGCTCCTGTATATTTCTGAGATTCCTGATCTCCTCTGATTTCTACACTCATTAATCAGATGTTTCGAATATAATCATACATATGATAAAATTGTTTCTGTGCCCAGGGAAATAGTTGTCTATTTTTATACAACTTTAAACATTGAGTGATTGTTTAAAAATATTTAATATATGTATTAAAGGTTTACATTTATTGTATATGAAAAATACACGTTTTGTTAACACTTAGACTGCATGAACCTGTATTAACTCTGAATTATTAGATGTGGGGAATTTAGCAAAGTGAGATCTGAAAGGGATAAGGTACACTCTCAAGAATTGGGGTCTCAAGTAGAGAAGCTAGCATAAGGGTTTGAAAAGGAGTCAGCGGAGGCCAGGAAATGAAGTTGAGATTTGCAGAGGGAATGAGAGGGCTAGGAAAGTTTGCTCCTCCTGGCCTTCGTCCTGCTATGCAGGCAGAACTTCAGCAAATGCTGGGAAGTCTTTAGAAGATCTTGTTGTGGTCACCTTCTTCATTTTCTCTTCTTTCTTTTGCTTGTATGCTTCTCTTTTCTCCAAGTCATTTTAAGATGCCGAGGTCAGCAGGTGCTTAAGTGCCGGAATGAAAATAGACTTTGCTTCTCTCCTCCCTCTCCCGGCGGCGGCTTCTGCTCCTTGTATGCTAGGTCTCCACTAATATAGAAAATGGGGTCATTGGGAAATGTGGCACTAATTTTGAGGAGTGGCAGGGTAAGGAAGAAGTGGTTTGGAGAATATTCTAGTGATTATGGAATAGTGAGGAAAATCCAAGAGAAGCAAAGTCAACAGTTGTTAACAAAGAAGTATAGAGAGTATGTGGACAGACTAGCCAAGCACACTCTTCCTACTTGAAGTCTCTTCCTGAAAATAGTGGCATTTGGGAGATAGGAGGGACTGATTTCCTTTATTCACTACATTAAATTCTCTAGTCATTTAAAAACCTCTAAATAATTTAGTGTTCTTATGTGTGAAAAAAATGTTCTTTACTATAAAACACAAATTTAAAAAATAATTCTCCAAAGCACTTTTCTTGCCTTCTTTAGGCCATCAGTTGACAAAATACTTTAAAAAGTAAAAAAAAACCAAAAAACAAAAAAACCCATAAAGATCACGTGTTTCTGTTTTGAGTGGGTTACATTCACAAGAAAAGCATACACAGACTCATTCTATTACATAAATATTTTTCCCATTAAGGTCTAGCCCTCTGGATTATGTGCTAAGAATTGGTTGCTAAATACTGCAGCAGTTGGCTCCAGACTCCAATTTTTTTTTAACTTGTATTTTGATCTGTGCCTTTTTTTAAAGCTACTCTTTCATTAATTTGTGGGGACCTTAATGGAAGTGACCCAAATATTTGTTGGATATAATCTTCCATCCTTATCCTTTGTAGATGGGGAACAAAACCAAACAAAAACCATTTTCTAGAACAGAAGTTATTATTCAGTTTTTAAAACATATGCGGATATTTTTCCAACTTATGCTTTATGCGATTTTTAGTCATGTCTTAAGAAGAAAATTAAAAACATGCTTTTTTTTTTTCTAAGTACCATAGACAGAACCTTTTGTATTAGCATTCTCCAGGGCATCGTTCAATTAAGTGTGATAGTGTGATGGAGAAATGCCCTGAAGATTTTTCCTGTTATGTCAAAAAAGCTTAAAAAACTTTATTACTAAGTCATTCTTTTCCTTGTTATCCTCATCTCAAGGGATGAGGATCCTTGAAGAATTCCGCCTTGTAAATTTGAGACTTGCTTAACAATAATAAAAAGAACAAGTCTCAAAACAAACAAATGCAGGAACTCTCTACTCATAATCATGTCTAGGATGACTCTTTGAACAGCTTTCACTTGGCAATATAAAATACTTTTTTATGTAGAAGATTTAAGTTAATAATCTGACACATCAGATAGAGTATGCTGCCAATTCCTTGGAATAAATGTAGCTTCAGCCTTAAAAATATTGCAGAGATGATTCAGCCACACCTTCAAGTAAAGTTGTCTATCACTGACTGTCTCTTTTTTTCTCTTGCCATGGTAACAGGAGGGACAACTAATTAGATTAAAAGGGGATGAATGATACGTGGATACAAACCAAGTATTTTTGTGAAAGTATTTTCACATAACTCACTTTTAAACTGTAGACTTTTCGTAATTTTATAGTGGTGTAAGGATAAGCCAGATGTGAGAACAGTGTTATCTTACCATGGAAGGAACTAACCTTTTAGACAAATCATTATTTAAAGAATCTGTCCAGTGGCAGTTATCTCTGCCTGATTACTGTGTATCTAACACTGCACTGGTCCTGGCATCCCTTGGATGGGCAAGACAGATTTGTCCCTTACCCTTAGGTAACTTAGAGTTAATGTGTAACCTTTGCCAAGTCACCTAAAGTTCTGTGATACGGTTTTTTATTCTGTAAAACGAAGCAGAAGCGAACAAAACAGACACACAAGGACATGAGGAGTATGGCAAGAGGTAACAGTATTTAAATAGACTGGTCAGAGAAGTCCTCACTGAGGAAGTGGAAGAAAATTCCAGTAAAGGAATCAGCAAGCACAAAGACTCTGAGGTGGGAGAGGGCTTTTGTGTTCAAGACAATAGCAAAGAGACAAAGTTGGCTGGAGAAGAGGCAGAAAGTGAGAGCCTTACAGCAAATGGGGACGTAAAGGGAACTGGGGATAAAATCTGTGAAGTCCTTCTAGGCCACCCCAGAGGACTTTGGCTTTTAGTCAAAGTTAAAAGGTCCTGAGCAAAACAGTTACATGATTTGTGTTTCAGAATGATCACAATGCTGTAGGGAGAATAGACTGTGTTGAAAGGAGGGTGTGTAGTTTTTCTTTTGTCTTCTGTATTCTATTGCTAAGAAACCTGTTTTCTGCCTAATCATATTTCTCCACAAAAGAATAAACCATTGCATGTTTGCTGTTGGGTAATAAAAGTTGACCTAAGCCACAGAAGCTCAGATTAACTTAAAAATTATTCATGAGAATTTCATTAAGTGTATGAAATGGTGGGTTGGTATATAATCCATAGTTGATTTTCTCTAGATAATCTTTTAACTTGTTCATGTTTTTAGCCTTGGGGCTCTATTTTACGGAATTGGAATTTCTTAGCTGTGACGCATCCAGGTTACATGGCATTCCTCACATATGATGAAGTGAAAGCACGACTACAGAAATACAGCACCAAACCTGGAAGGTAAGACTGTTCAGCAGTAATGTTCTGTGACATATCTAAACATGAGAAGTCCTCTGTGGTTCCTAAGTAAATCAGTAGCACCAACTGGGGACTTGGGAGTAGAGTAAAAAAGCTCTGAGACCAAAATGGTGCTTTTAAATTGCATCCTTTAAATTGATACATTGTGTTCGCTCTGAACTTAGTGTTCATAAAGTAAAAGGGTATGTTTCCCTGTTTTCTTGATACCGGTGTTTTTGTACAAAATTGTATGTGTGTATGTGAAGACTTAAATATTGTGCTAAAGATAAAATAAATAGAATAGTTTTATGTCCATTATTTTAGGGTATTTTAAAGACATTCAATTAGGCTCTATGTTAAATACATATTGAATTTAAATATACATATAAGTATATGATAAATACATCTAGATACATAGACACATATAAACTTACTGTTGCAATCCAAGCCAATTTCATTTCCTTGAAAACTTCTTCCATAATATTTCATGTTTTTTACAGCCTCAGAATTTGCTTTATTTTACAGATGATGAAACTGAGTGAGACTTGGAGAGGTTGACTGGTCAGCCCTTTTAGCTTTGGCCAAGAAATCGCACCTTAGTGATGACAAATCTGGGACCAGAAAAATCTGTCTCTTCCCTGGTTCAGTGCATTTTTTCCTATATACCACCTAGAAGTGCACTAGGCACATAGTAGGCATTTGTACTATGGCACTTGTATTATGGCAGCCAGTGTGCTGGGTACAGCAGTAGTGACATTAGAGACCTGTCTTAGAGTTCTCACATTTTAGTAGGAGATGCCATTCTGATATCCATTAGTGTACTGATTTTTCATATGGAGAGCATTTCATTCTGGGATTGAGTTTCATTGTTTTCTAATGTCTACCTTTTTCTTTCAGCATCATTTTTATTTGATTTGAAGTATATAGAGTGTTTGTCCTTTAACCAATTATTCTTAAGGAAAAGTTAATAGTGTTGATTCCTTTCGACTCTGCTGTAATAGATCTTTCCATTTCTTTTTTTTTTTTTTAAGGAAGAATTCATATAGTATATAAAAAGGAGCTAGTGAGTACAGAAAACACTTTGGCTCCTGTTGGAATTTTATGTTTAACCTAAAGAGAGTTGGTTCTCATTGTGACCATGAGAGCAGGTCAGGTATTTTGCATGTTGATCATGGCTTAGATGAATCAGTGCGTTTCTTTCAGGAGTCTCTTGTGACTAGATTTTTTTCCATAATTTTTACTTTCTTGATTGATGTCATATAAAGTATCTTTGCTCCTAGAGTATGATTTGAAAAATGTGATGTGGTTGCAATTGTGCAGTCGTACAAATTTGGCATGTAAGTTCTTTTAAAAATTATCCGGTCTGATCCTATAAAAATAATAAGGAAACAGAACTTCTTTTCGTTTGTTCTCTTGTTCAACATCATGGAGATCATGAATTACATTGTTGGTAGGAAAAGTTGAGTCTCATTGGTATCTCTTAGTGAATTACTATCCTCTGATAAGAACATTTGATATAAGATCCACTGGAATACTTATCTTCTAATGGATCATGTCATGTACAGCTTTTTTATGTCAGTCATACCTAAAAAAGAATAGGATATTATCCTCTGAAAAACATCATCCTTTCTTTCCTATCTTGACATGTAAATAATTTTTCTGTTAAATTCTAGATATATACTGATGAATAGTCTATAATAAATTATAACATATAAAGTGTAATATATTTAAAATGTGTTTAGGAAAATACTCGGTGAAAAAAATCAAATAATTTTAATAAATATTTGCTTTAGAGAATATCTGTGTCTAACTGGTTTTTTTCTTTTGAAAAGTATTTCATCTCTTTGACTTCATAGTAAGAAAATAGTTCTGTCTAGTCCAAGAACAGTTGGATTCCTTAGATTGTGTTATATTGGAGATCCAGCTGACAAAATATTAATTACCTAGTGAAGTTAGTTACGTTTGAGAATCTAGAGAAATATCCGTTAGATGACTTACAGTGTTAAAAGAGTGGCCTTGAACTCAAAATCACCCTGTCAACTTGAAACAAATTCATCTGGTTATGTTAAGTATGACAATTAAGAGAGCAGGATGCTAAAAATAAAGCAAAAATTCACTTCATGAGGTTGGGAAGGGATAGCCATCAGCAGAATGATCAGCAGCAAATGATGTAAAAATATACAAATGAAATGAAACAGGAAAAATGTGTATGGGAGAAGGAAATTGTTCTGAACAGCCATTATGGCTCTTAACAAATTGCTAGTATCACTATCCTTTACTTATATGAATTGCGTGAGCCTGTAATAATTCGTTTTAGAAACATCATTCTAAATGTTTGGAGCAACAGAAAAGGGTATTGGTTAAAAAGTGAGCAGTTTCACAAGTATGTGTTTCAATATTTACTAGATTCTTACTATATGAATGAATATAGAATTACATTTAAAATTACTAACAATGCAGGTTTGAAATTATTTTCTTCATGTTAATATACTCTGCAAATTCTGCTGAGATCCATAGTACACATAGATGTTTAATATTTCTATGTAACATTGACTTAATTTGAAAGAATTTTGTCATATTAATCTCTTAATGTAACGATTTAATAGTCCACTTCTGAATTATAACTTACAATGACTTTCTATTTTTTGGGCATTTGTCAGCATCATAGCCATGTCTGTGCGGCATTATTTTATCTGATTCTGATTAAGAATGCCAATAATTGACAGGTTGATATCTCATTTTCAGGGTCTTTAGGGTTATATGTTTATAGACTATGTTTTAGACTTCCTGAACAAGTCTTTTTCCAAAGATTCCATCACCATAGAAAGTTCTTGATATTTTAAAATCACAACTTTTTCCTTTCTGAAATATTGTTTTCTTGAAAAATGAAATCACACTTTACCACTCAATATAAAAGTTAATTAAAGCAGTGACTGTATGGCTATTATATATTCTAAATATTATATCTTGTAAAGTTACTTTTATAGAACTTTGTTCTTCAGTAACCAAAGTATATTAAGAGATACTTATTTCTGACATATACATATAGCAGTTAGGACACAAAAATATTGCCAACAGATCAGAGTTGATCTACTTGGTGGATTATAAGATCCAGCAGTGGATATCCTGATGGCAAGATTGGATGTAATATGCTTTAAAAAAAGAAATGATCTAAGGTAAAATAAGTAAATAGATAGCTAAATGAATAAATAAAGGATAATGATGAACTTAAAGCCAAGTCATTGTCTCATTTCATTAGAGATTAATTTTAAAGGACTTGTCTTTCATTTGACTTACATTTTTGAGCCATCTTGACTTCCTATTTTAAAGTATTGAATTTGACTTCGTTAGGTGACAGCCAGTCTGCTTTCTCATTAATATAGTTAGCTCTTTTGAGCTTTATTTAAAGATGAATGGCTGGAATGCTTGAAAGAAAATGTATTTTTAAACAAGTTATGTAACAAAAATTAATAATTTTAATGTTTAAATTACAAAGTAATATTTTGAGTTACACAGTAGAAACTAGCTTAATTTCTGTCTGAGGTAGACAAATTAAATTTTTACATATTGTTTTATTTTTACTTACCAAAAATGTTTTATGTCAGAGCCATTTTATAACATCAGCATTTTGTTGATAAGCACCCCTGGTCATAAATTACTTGTGATGGTAATAAATTACTTGTTAGTTTACAACTTCATTTCTTTTCTTATGTAATCTTGGAAATATTTAAATGAAAAGAAGTCATCAGTGTTTTCCTACAAACTGATAAATGAAAAGTCCAGTGGTGTTAAAAATAAGGTAAAAGAATATCAGGAATATTTAGATACCAGGAATTCTAAATGATTCTGTTTATTCTTTTTCTTTAAAAATTAAAAAAAAAAAAACCTAACGTTGCCTGGTTTTGGCTTACTTTTTGAATGTGATTGTGTTTTGTAGCTACATTTTCCGGTTAAGCTGCACTCGACTGGGACAGTGGGCTATTGGCTACGTAACCGGGGATGGCAATATCTTACAGACCATACCTCATAACAAGCCCTTATTTCAAGCCCTGATTGATGGCAGCAGGGAAGGATTGTAAGTATGAGAGCCAGGACTCCGGTTGCCTAAGTTTCACAAATTCGAAAAATAGAGACTGCTTTGCAATGGGTAGTGAGACTGTATTTTTATCTCGAAAATTCGAAGTATTTTTATCTCGAAAATTCGAAGAATTTTTATTTCGAAAATTTGAAAAATAGAGACTGCTTTGCAATGGGTAGTGAGACTGTATTTTTATCTCAAGACTGAGAATTAATGAATGTGCCTTAGTTTTTATTGTCCATCTCTTTGAAGAGTGACTTTAAGGTAACTTAATGATTAGAATCTAGCTATATATTTCAGCAAATACATCCCAGCTTTGAATTCTATCATGAGTCTATATCTTTCAATGGAAAAGAAGTTGGAACTTAAAGAATTTTTTTTTTAATAGAATAATTGACTTCTGTTGCATTATATAACCCTCAGATTGCTTGTTTCATTTTTTTTTTAATTTTGACTAGTATTGTCAGTTTCTCTCTTATTCTTTCCTTTTTCTATTCCTTCCTTTCCTTTTCTCATTATAGATATTTACATTAATAATGACTCCATATTCCAGAATTATATGTCATTGACTAAGCTCATTTTATCTCAAGCTATTCTTTTTGAAAATTTAAAAATAAATAAGTTCGCCTCCTTTGTTTTTCAGATTCATGATTACTCTTTCCCTTATACACTAAGTGCACAATTTGTTTGACCCTTCATAATAAATATGTCTGACTCTTGTTCATTTTATTCACATGCCATTCGCTGTCACTTCATCACGCTGCCCTTTCTTGCCTTTTCCTTTGCTGAGTTACTTAGAGATGTATATGGTCCAACTTGCTGCAGCATAGGTTTTGGTAATAATAGTAGGAGAAAGTCTACCAGTTAGCAAAGAGTATGATTTGAATTTTACCTTTTCCAAAGTAACTGGAAGGAAGGAAAAGAAAGAAAGAGAAAAAAAGTTATGAGATATGTGTGAAGAAGAATAATGTCTTTCTTAAAGTCTATAAGCTTTCAAGAAATTAGTTATGTAGGAATTGGATGGCAAGTTGTAGTATCAAATGTGTGTTTCTCTTTTTTTCTTCTGATTTTCAAAATTTTTCATTCTCAGTTATTTTTACCTTACCTCTAGTGCCTCAAAGACTCCTATGTGTAGCTTTTGATTTACTATGATTACAGAATTTGGCTTTTTTTTCTTTAATGTACCTTAAAATTTTAATTAATTAATTTTTATTTATTTATTTTTTGTTTATTTTTTTTGAGTTGGAGTCTCACTCTCTTGCCCAGACTGGACAGCCTCGACCTGCTGGGCTCTGGCGATCCTTCCGCCTCAGCCTTCCAAGTAGCCGAAATTACAGGCATGTGCTACCACGCCCGGCTGATTTTTTGATTTATTGTAGAGATGAGGTCTCGCTGCCCAGGCAGGTCTCGAACCTGCGGGCTCAGGCAACCCACTCACCTCAGCCTCCCAAAGGTGCGGGATTACAGGCTGAGCCACCAAGCCCGGCTAAATTTTTAATTTATAAACAGTATGAGTGGGTAAATCTGTAGATGGAATAATTTTTGATATAGCTTGTTTGAATAGTTACCATGCCTTCCATCTGTTTTTCAAATGTCAATGAAAGAATTTTATTTTAATACTGTAATCTGTTGAGCAAAGCCTCTTAACCCCTACACAGATTGTTAACATTTACACACACGCATACACAGGAATCTTCAGAGGGATTTGGCTAGTTGAATTTGAACTTGAATGATATAGTAGGATAATAGGATACTAGGCTATATTAGGTTTTATTATATTAATTAGATAGGGGTTTTTTTAAGATCAGTAAAAACATAGAGTATTATCTCTTCCAGCTACTATCAATGTCTGCTATATTTCCTTATAGTTAATCCAATATTGTGTGACATAGATGATAGGAACATTTATTTTTATAAAAAAGCCAATATTCTTTATTCCTTCTGTGCCATTGAAAGGGACTCATCAGCAATATCCTGGGTATACTATGGACAGAAATAATTAAATTGCCTCTGATAAGTTAATTAGAACCTTTTAACCTTTCCTCTGGCACCGTTATTGTCATTTGTAATCTTTCATTTCTGAATCCTTCCCAAAATTTCTCCATATTTTTAAAATTATGATTAATAAAATGTTACATAATTTTAAAATGTTGATTTAGAGTATAAAAAAAGTTATCACCTTTTTACTTATCATTCCTCATTTAATATTTGTAGAATTTTGTAAACCCCCATAATGACAGTCTAAATTTATAGCATATTCAAATGTAGTTCTAAATCTTTTTTAAAAAATTATCTGACTGATGTGTCCCTTACCACATAAGTGTTAACTGTCCTTTAAATTCAGCTTTCTAGTTTTCCTGGGTAAATTCTAGCACTTACTAATATGATTTTAGACTTCATCTAAGGTTACATTTTTTATTTTGACTACTTTACAGAATAGTTTTGTAGAGTTTTACCCTTTGAAATATTCATACCATAGAATTATATTTTTTAATTTTTTCTTCCAGCAATCTAGTATAGAACGATGTTAAACAGAATTAACCATAACCTAATAAACTGATAAAATCCAGCATTAACATTACCACTTATTTTTTAAATCAAAAATTAATATTGACCCATACAATAAACTTTATTTTTAATGAATTTCTAAATAGCAAGTAAAAAATTTGATTTAACACAGCAACTTAGCACTATCACTTAACTTTTAGTTAAGATTTCAGTTTCGCCTACAATAGAACTTATTTGTACACCATTTCATGTGTGTAGCTTTTCTGAAGTCAGTAAAACATGGAATTGTAACATTTTCTAATTTTTTAACCATCTATGTACATGTGTTTGTGTATGTTTATGTGTTAGGGTAAGTGGAAGGTGAGAGTCAAAATTAGGAGTTTGGTAAACTGTAGAAACAGAAACAGCTCAGAAGTGTTTGAAGCACTTCCAAGAAAATTATGGCCTTTTAATTTCTTTTTCTCTCCATGTGATATTAAGGATGAAGGGAAAACTTGAATGTTTTATTATATATATGATCTAGTTTTAAAATATTTTATATTTTAGATGTTTATCTTTTGTATAAATAAATAATAAAAATTTAAGAGAAAAAGCCAAAACAGAGAAAAAAGTGTAGAATGATACAGTTAATATTGCCTACTTCAGATGAAAGACATAATAATGACCAGCAGGTATATATTCAGAGTATTTTGGAGTGGAACATAATTGACCAGGAAAATAATTTTTTCACTTGTATATTAAAGGCATGTAATTGAAAATAGTTGCTTAGTGGCATAGTTCATATTCATTATCTATTTATTTCATGACAATGAGTTCTACTTTTTATAAATGTCCTAAAAGTAGCATAATATTGGAACCAGTGAGAGAATATGTTATTGGTATGTTACATTAAAAAAAAAAAATCAAAATGTATGTTGAATGTAGAAGAATTCAATGAGATAGCCTTAAATGCAATTAAAATTTGCATATCTAAGGTAACAAGGTTTCTGTTTAAATTTAGTTATCTTTATCCTGATGGGAGAAGTTATAATCCTGATTTAACTGGATTGTGTGAACCTACACCTCATGATCATATAAAAGTTACACAGGTAAGGACAATTTCTGGCAAAGTCTAATTAATAAGTACCCATAATGCCTTTGAAGTAAATAAGACTCTTATTCTATAGCTAAAATCATGCACAGGTATTTAACACAGAAGATACTTAAGGAATTCTAAGAGTGTTTGAAAATAAATTATATTACTTTCATGTATTTTTTATTAAAAATTTCGGCTATTAGTATTCTTGCTTGCCGTATAATATTGGCATTAATATGGAGGAGACAAATTGATAAATCCACAGGTCAATAAGATTAAGGAGAGGGTTATAGTTTAGAAAACTACAAAAAAAATTTATATGCCATACTTTTACGACGATTGGATAATGGAAGCCTATTGAAGATAACAATTATGCTGTTCTTAATCCACTGTTGGCAACCTCATAGAAATGTAGGTTGGTAAAGCCTTTTTTGAAAGTAATATCCAAGCTGGGCTCGGTGGCTCAGCCTGTAATCCTGTGCCTTTGGGAGGCTGAGGTGAGTGGATTGCCTGAGCCCATGAGTTCGAGACCCGCCTGGGCAGGCGAGACCTCATCTCTATAATAAATCAAAAACTTAGCCAGGTGTGGTAGCGCTCGCCTGTAGTTCCAGCTACTTGGAAGGCTGAGGTAGAAGGATCGCCAGAGCCCAGCAGGTCAAGGCTGCGGTGGCCAGGAGCGGCCACTGCACTCCAGTCTGGGCGACAGAGTAAGACTCTGACTCAAAAAAAAAAAAAAAAAGAAAGTAATATCCAGTAATTAAAAAAATCTAAAGGAAAGCATCTTTTCACTTTAGATTCCCTATGTATGTGGATTCCATATATATACGTATCACTGAACAATAGGTTAGTCTGTACAACAGGATAGTCTATGTAACATTTTTCATAAAAATGAAAAAAATCACAAAATACTAAAGTGGTCAAGAATAAAGAAAATAAAAACAATACATTTATACTGTGTTATGTGAAGTCATCAACAGAAGAGAGCTTTACATACTTACATGGGGACTTGTGCATCTTCTACTATAAACAAATCCCATTTATGTAAAGCACAATTATGTACCATTTAGTTTGTAAATTTACATTATGTATGTTTGACTTCTATAAATAAATAAAAATTACAATGTGTGAATATACAACTATACTTTTTAAAAAAAGTGAGAGGGTTTAATTGGGAAAGTGAAAAAGATCGAGCAGTCAGGGAAAGGATGGAGGGAGAACTTGAGTTTTTAATTTTACATGCAATCTAGTTTTTAAATATTTTATATTTTAGATGTGTTTATGCTTTGTTTAATAATAAAAATCTAAGAGAGGATACCACAGCAGAGAAAAGTTATGGGTAGATAGACAACAAGTAATGATTTACTTATAATTCTCCAGATTTCATTCCCTGTAGTCTATATATTGTTATATGAGACACACTTGTTGACATTTACATGTATGTCTTTTGGATAACTTCTTAAATTTAATATATCATTACCATTTTTAAAATTAGTGATTCTGTGTTTTCTAATATGCGTAAAAGCATGTTCATGAGAGAGTTCCTCTTTATAAAGCCATTATATAAATAAATCTTTAGAAGTAATAGTCCCTTAAATTACTCATAAATATTCTTCCCTCCTTAGATTGCATTGAGTTCTGTCTGAGATTTTACCTTTTTGCGATTTTTTGATCTTTGAATAGTCATTAAAAAGTATCAATACTATCAATTATTTCAGGGACATCAGCCATTTAAAACTTTTTGGGTTACTTTAGATTTATTTATGTTCCATCTTGATCCATTTTCTCTCTCTTTTTTTTTAAACTTTCCTAAACATCATTTGTATGCTCACACATATACACATAATGGTAGACACAGCATATGTATGTGTGTATTGTGTGCATGCATATGCCCATATGTGCATCTATTTACATATGTAAATATATAAATTTCCCACCAAGTTGTAATATCTTTTAGTTGATTATGAACTAAATATTGTCTTTTATTTATCCTACTCAAGACCAGGCACATTGTAGGCACTTACTGGACTAAAACATTGCTTTACTTACACACATTTTGATTTCATAATTTTCTATTTCTCTTAACAGTATTTTTCGTATTTTCTTCACAACTGCTATCTATTTGTATCTTCTTTGTCAGCTAGATCTTTTCAGTACTTGAACACTGAGAATTTTACTTTGTCAAATATTCTAAAAGCTACTAAGTCAAGAGAATTGAAGTTTAATAAAAACAGTTTTTTTGTTACTGAAATGATTAGTCTTCTTGACAGTTTTAGGGAAAGATTATGTACTTTTGAGTTAGAGACTTAATTTAGAAATTGAGGAAAACAATTTAAACTTATCGAGTCTCAGGTTTTTTTCTTAAATTCAATATATTGTCTTATGCTTTAGAGTCATATAGAATAGTAAGTATGGACCACAGTGCCTGGTATGCAAGAAGGGCTTTGCAAATGTTTGTTGCTTTTATTCCATTCTGGAATTCTAAAATATTGAGGCAATAAATTTAATGTTAGCCAGAACCATACTTTTTTTTTCAATGTGACAGTAAAATTAGATGAACATGTGGCATTTACAAAGAAGATAAAGTCATTTGTATTGCCATTTTAAAACCATAGGTTATATTTTTTGAGTCACCGTGTCTGTTGAAGCAAGTCCTTTCCTAAAACACTAAAAGAACATTAAATAATCTGAATTCTTAAAAAGTTCATAAAATAGCTGATAAAAACTCAAACCTTTTAAAAAAATGGATTTTGTAGACCAAATTGTGATTATCAGTTTAAAACGACTTACATGGTAATATCATTCTGACAGGCTCAAGTGTGAGATATTTACTGTAAGTCATTATATTTGAGAAAATTTGATATTAACAGTTTATGGTGGAAATACATTAACATTGCCTCTTTTTTTCCCCAAATTACAGGAACAATATGAATTATATTGTGAAATGGGCTCCACTTTTCAGCTCTGTAAAATTTGTGCAGAGAATGACAAAGATGTCAAGATTGAACCTTGTGGGCATTTGATGTGCACCTCTTGTCTTACAGCATGGCAGGTATAAGAAACGTTTAATTAGCAATGTGGATGTCTTCCGTATCTAGTATTATTTCTCTTTTAAGTTTCTCCATTTTAATCGTTCAGAAAGTAATACTGATTAGTGCTTTATTTGAATTGGTTATTTTCAAAAATTGTATGTTTGAGTTTCTATATGTATATATAAAGTATATATACTTTATTACTGTTTTGTATTTTGTATCTTTTGCATGTGCAACTTAATTTTATATTAGTCATAAGTAGTTCTTCTACAGTACCATGGATTTCAGGATGTTCACTTATAGAGATTACCAACTAAACATATTGTTCATAGTTGATCAGATTCTGAAACCAAGAAACCTTAATAGAGAAATTTTGTGTTGATGTTTTCAGCTAAACCCCTTTTCTCCTGAGGAGGCGTGGCTCCTGTCTCACCCATGTCTGCAGTTGTTCTGTAGTGCTAAAATTGGAGAATCAGACAGGAAATGTCTCCCAAGTGCTTACAGTTCTCACAGAAACAGACATTAAAATTTTCCAATTCACAGGAGAATCTCAGGCAAACTGCCTTCCCATCTGTAGGCAGGTATTCAATAAATATAAATTGATTTGCTGTTTTATAGTAAGGCCTACAGGATACTGGTTTCCCAAGAACTTTCTTATGTTTCTTTATCTGTAATGAAGGGGATTTTAAAATGCATCTTTGGACAGATTTTCAGTTTTGAGTATTGGAAGGAGTGATGGAATATTTTGATCAAGCCTTTTTGCTACTGAAGCTAGAAATATGTTGATGTGGTTTAGAACACAAGTTATTAAAATTTCAAGCTTTAAAAAAAATTTACAGGCCAGACTTGGTGGCTCAGCCTGTAATCCCAGCACTTTGGGAGGCCAAGGTGAGTGGATTGCCTGACCCGGTGAGTTCGAGACCAGCCTGGGCAACGTGGCCAGTCCTCTCCCTACAATAAATCAAAAATTAGCTGAGTGTGGCAGCACGTGCCTGTAGTTCCGGCTACTTGGAAGGCTGAGGCAGAAGGATCACCGGAGCCCAGCAAGTTGATGCTGGGGTAGCCGTGAGCATGCCACTGCACTCTAGCCTGGGTGACGGAGTGAGATTCCAACACACACACACACACACACACACACACACACACAAAATTACACTTAAGTGTATAACTGACATCTTTGCCCTGTTCCTAAGCCTTCTCAGTCCTTGATTTGCTCTGTGCAGTCCTGAACCTCTGTATGACCTGAGGAAGGATGGGCTTTGAAGTTCATGGAAGGAGGCTGACAGGCTCAGAGGGGCTCTGATGCTTGTTGAACTCATTGCTTATAAATAAAATATAATGATGTTCACATTTTCATAGTCATAAAATGGGCCTCTTCTTTTGTGGAACTTTAAAAAATGGCTGAGGATAAGGAGGAAGAATTAGTAAATAAATTATAATTGGTTTGCATTTTCAAAGTCCTTTCTGAATGCCCAGACATCTTTGCTACCTCAGTGATACTGTTCAACAGCCCTATACATCTCTCCTTCAATATGTGATTGGCTTATATTTTACTTTTGGTTTTTCTTTATGTTCTTGTCCTTCTCTCCTTTTATTCCTTCTTGATGTTTGTGAATTTAGCATACTACAGGGAGATGTTGGAAGAGATATCTAGGCACTTGATTGCAACATATAGGCACTTGATTGCTATTGAAGTTATGTTAACAGTAGTAGTTCTGCAAATGTAACAGTGCTAAATGACTTTCAGTAAACTTAAATATGTTAGTAGAAGATGAAACTTAGCAAGTGTGTTTCCAATGTATCAGTAGGAGGTATCATGGAGATTTTCACTAAATGACAGACTGATTCAGATGGGACTATTTAGGACTGGTTTACCTGATCATTCAAATTTCAGGATAAATTTTTAACTGACAAAGAGGCCAAATTGCTCACCACCCCATGGATTGATTCAAGTCTTCAGTGTGGTGGTATGAGTCTCACAGGTACAAAGAAACCACAAACTTTGCCTTTCTCTCAGAAGAAAAAATGATTTTTTTTTTTCCTAGAGTCTGGCTCAGACTCCTAGTATTCTCTGCCTCCATGCAGGGCTTGTATATTTCAGCTGTTTGTCTTGGGGCTGTGGTCTGGGAACATACATACATGTTGCAGGACTTCACATCTTTAACTCAATACTGTGCTTAGTATTTGAAGGTTAGGTGGGTTAAGCGTCAAAAACTCATTTTAGTTTGGCAGAAATGCTTGATTAGTAAAATGTATTGTTTAAAGCGTCATACGAAATAGCTGTTTACCTTATGGCCCAGGGTGAGTAAAAAAAACTATGACTGAATATAAAGCAAGAAAGATTTTATTTATTTTACTTTCTATAAACTTCTTGAAAGACAGTTTATTCATTTATTTATTTTCAGAGTTTCAAGGCCAGTACTATGTATAATACTAAGTAACATTGTTGATAGATCCCTGAAAATTGTGACTGTTAGTGAAATGATGTACTGTATATATGCCTTAGGAACTTGTTTATATCAGTTAGACTATGGTAAAATTTGTTTTATTATACCCCTATATAATGAACCCATGAACCTTCAAGTTGTGAACTTTCAATGATGCAAGCATGTGTTTGCATAACCAGTCACGTTAGTTTGCATGTCTAGCATACGTTGTCACGTGCTGTACTGTAAGATTTAAAATATTTTATTTTTTGTGTTTATGTATTATCTGTGTAAAAAGTATTACAGACCTGTTACAGTACAGTACTATATAGCCAGTTGTGTTTGTTTAGTACCTAGGCTAACTTAGTTGGACTTAAGAACAAATTGGTCTTATGAACAGAACTCACTTGTATGTAGGAGACTTACGGTACTTCGTTTGACTTAAAGTTGCGTTCTCAAGAATGCATTGACATTAGTTGAGGACGTACTGTATTTTGTTATCAAGTTTGTGCACTATTTGCAGTAGATCCATTATGTGCAAAAGGCATAAATTCTTCAGTTGTTAATGCTGTGTTATTAATACTTTGTCTTTTACCTCACCATAATTCTCTTTGTATTACTGTGCATTTTCCAAATGGTGTGGTTCCTCTTGCTACTTGCTAATGAATTTCTTGATTCACTTCATGATTTTTTGTGTTGACCTACTGACCTTATATGAAGATATGCCCAGAAATATCTTTAAGTTGTTGACATTTATTATTTCTCTTTTTTACTTTGAAGTAATTTTCTGTTTTACTTGTAGAAATTGAGGAAGTGCATAAATGCCAAGCACCAAAAAACAGTGCTGAGCTAAAATTTTAGGAGATGCTGTATGAGAGAGTAATAACAAAGTAGTAGTTTACTAAATAAGTAGTAATAAAAAATATCAAATTCAAAACTAATTAGAAGTTTGAAATAATCAAATTAAATCTCACTTATGTTACCAGTGAATAATGTTATTTTAATTTGATCATAGAATTTCATATATAGATTCATGAAAAATATGCAAAGGTTTTATTTCAGTATTTTTTAAAAATTCCCCCCAAAGCATTCACCATTAATATTCTCTTGATTCATTGTGTATATGTCTCTCTAAGCTCTTACCTCATTATATGCATATAAGCAAATATTTCCATATTTGTCTGTTTCTCTTCTAGAATATAGATTACTTTGCTACTTTGGAATCCCTTCCTGCTAGCATGTTAGCTACACATTGGTGGTTACTCAGTAAATACTTACAGACTGTATGCTGGGTAATGTAAAAGAAAGAAAAGAGATCAAAGATGACGTCAATAAAAGATATCATAGATTGATTGTGAAAAGCCCTCATAGAGTCTTAGTTCTGTCCGATTCTTTTCTGAGAAGAATTTATAATCTTTTCAAAGACCTTTTATCTCATAATTTGAGAATGCATCCTAAATATTCTAAGCCTTCGTTCCATTCAATAGTTAGGGTGTGATTTCCTTACCTTTTCACGTTTTGTTTTTTTCCTCTTAGTTGAACTATGTATTTTACTTTTACTGTTTACAGGGCTGCCAGTGCTAACCTAGTGAGACCAAGTATCTATCTATTGCTCTTTTATACCAAGAAACATGTACAGTGATCTCTGGCTCACATTTTCTCTACCACCCCTAAAGAAAATTGTTCTTAGAGCAAGGTTTGAGAATTCTTTTTTTTTTTTTTTTTTTTTTTTTTGTCTGAAGAATATTACAGAATCTCCCTCTTCAGATATAAATGATCTATAACGTTACAGAACAAGCAGCGAATCCTACAATTTAAAAACTAAGTAAGTCTACACGATGTTAATTTCTGGCAGCAGTCCTCCCGATCCGGCTTTTTAAAAAAGTCACCCCTGCCCCCATTTCAGTAGACGTGCACCAACGCCGTAGAGGAACTTCCAGAACAGGTCGTAGGTGAAGAGGCCTCCGACCAGGCCTCCTGTGAAGAGAGGGCTTCGTGATGTGAAATATTTGGGCCACCTCCTTGCCGCCTGGAGAAGCAGGAGCGGGGAAAGCAGGGCGGAGGCAAGCAGGTAGAAGACGAGGCCCCGGAGGACGGTGAGACCGCGGATGCCGCGGCCGTGGCCCCCGACAGCGCTGACACTGAAGTCCCCGCACGGCCGCCTCGCTGGTGAACGGCGCCCCTTCCGCCTGGAAGCCCCGGCAGCCGTCGCCCCGCCGGGCTCGGCCCCTGCTTTGTCGCCGAGTGACTCGCGGAGCCACAGGGCGGCGGCCACAGCCGCTCAGCGCGCGCTCAGCCAGGCGGGGGGCTGCGGTGCCCGGCGCCACCTCGCGCAGAAGGCTCGAGAACTCTAAATGGGTATTTCGTGGTCTGTCCGTCTTCGTGGGACCTTGCTGGCCAAAGGAAGTGTCAGCAGTAGAACAGTTCCGCTTTGGGGTCATTCAGATATTTCTGCATTTACATATAGATTTCACATAATGGGAATTCCTGCCAACCAGCAGATTTTTTTTTTTTTGTTGACACTTTTCCTGTTATTGTATGAACAGCAGTGTTTGGTGATCATGTAAATATGCGACTGTAAAATGCCTCTAGTA